AGACTCATATCCCGAGAATCAGAGGTCAGAGGATAATGAGTAGATCCAGATCTTTTCTCTCACAGAGAAGTGGAGGGTTTGGCCCCTGTTGGCTGTCTTCAATGAGCCAGGCATCACATTTTATTCATTAAATAAAAAAACAAACAAACTTCTTGACCAAGATCCAACGGTCCATTCTTCTGTACTGTACAGTATATTGCTTCCAAACGCGTCTATGAAAAGTCAGTAATATTAGAGACCCAGATAACTTTCCTCCTTGAAAGGAAAAAAAGAAAAGTTTTCTTATCTATCTGTGATTCAATGGAAACCATAAATCACCGAATTCCTTCAAGACTTGCCGAGCCATCTAGGAAAGTACAGCCAGCTTTCCTCACGTTTGCAAATACGTTTTATCCCTGACCCTGATTACACGACTCACTGGCATTCACTATTGTTTTCCCATGGCAGGAGTGCTGGTGGCACCCTGGTTGAAACATTGGGCTGCCACGCAGCTTGAACCCGTTACTTGGCAGGAGAGAGAAAGGTGTGGCAGTCTGCTTCCAGAAAGATTCCCCAACTCTGCCGGAGTTGATGCCGACGCTCGGGCCTCCGGGACAGGGGAGAACTGCCCTGTGGGTTTCTGAGACTGGACTCCTCACGGGTGCAGAGAGCCCCAACTCTCTCCCTCGGCTTCACATGAGAAAGAATTCACTTCGAAGCCTGGTTTGTGATCCAAGGGGTTTTTTCTAAAGGATAGAAGGAGTTTCAGGTTTTACACAGGCCCCCTTAGGGCCCTTCACACCCACAGGTGGAAACCAGAGGCCAGAGAAACCTGCAGCCCAGCCCAGGAGCAGCTGGAAAAGACGAGACTGCGGCACAGCTGCGCTGCGCGGGGCGACAGCCTGGCTGCACGGGGACCGCAGAGCGGCCTCCTGGAATGGTGTAGGGGCCGGTGGTCTCAAAGTTTCTGGCTTTTTCGGGCCCCCTGTTGGGAGACCTGGTCCACGGTACTGGTTGACCCCGTTGGGAGACTTAGTCTACGGTACTGGTTGACCCCGTTGGCTGAATTAAGCTCACCTGGCCCTGATTGGGGCTCACCCAGGTATGCCGCCCACCTAGGTGTACTGCCCTTCCTGGCTCTGAGCCTGACTTTGGAGCATGCTCAGTAGAAATCCTGGTGCCCAGCAGTAAAGCACCATGCTATCAGGCCTCCTGCCATAAAGATCACAGTCTGGGAAACCGTGTGGGGCGGTTTAACTCCCTTGCTGTACTTGGTCTTTAACTTTTACCTACAGCAAAGCACTTGAACTTGCCAGACAAGCTCTCAAGAATGGGCAGCCGCTTTCTTTTCTGAAAGTAGGACCCAAGACGGAAGGCATTTATTTAATGTGGAACTGAAATACAACAAAAACAGCAACAGAGTGGCTTAATAAAGTGTGTGGATCCCTGCCTCGAGACCCCGTTGAAGCTACTACGTTGGTTTGTCACTAGGATTTGCAGGAGGGGACCCTCGAAACAAATATGAAGGGAGACGTCGGACAGTGTAAGATATAACAAAATAATAATTTATAAATTATCAAGGGTTCATGAGGGAAGGGGAACCGGGGAGGGGGGTGGGGTGGAGAATGAGCAGCTGAGGCCAGAGGCTTAAGTGGACAGCAAATGTTTTGAGAATGATGAGGGTAATGAATGTGAAAATGTGCTTTACACAATTGTATGTGTGGATTGT